TAAATTTATTTATTTATATTTATTTTTGGCTGTGTTGGGTCCTTGTTGCTGTGCGCAGGCTCTCTCCAGCTGCGGTGAGCGGGGGCCACTCTTCACTGTGGTGCGCGGGCCTCTCACTGTGGTGGCCTCTTGTTGTGGAGCACAGTCTCTAGGCATACAGGCTTCAGCAGTTGTGGCACACGGGCTTACTTGTTCCGCGGCATGCGGGATCTTCCTGGACCAGCGCTCGAGCCCGTGTCCCCTGCATTGGCAGGTGGTCCTAACCACTGTGCCACCAGGGGAGTCCCTCCCTGGTCTTCTAATATTCAGTGCTGCTGGCAAGACACCCACCACTATTCTGATGATCATTCCTTTATAGGGGACCATTATGGGTTGAATTGTGTCCCCCACCAAAAGATATATTAAAGTCCTAATCCCCGGCATCTCAGAATGTGACCCTATTTGTGAATGGAATCATTGCAGATGTAATTAGTCAACTTAAGATGGGGTCACACTGGAGTATATTTTAGGCATTTTCAATGGATTTCCGCTTAAGGTATTAAGTGAGGAATTGTGCTCTTTTTAAGCTCTTCTACCTTATTCTCTCAAAATAGTTATGTCACATTTTAAAATCCAAAATTATATCAAGTCACTTTATTGCTATAATTATATACACTGTCCACTACTGAGCCTAGTAATGCATGATGACTACATTTCCTTTTTTTTCAAAGTTTTTAGTTTTTCCTTGAATTATTAATTGCCTAATTTTTCATTTACTTAGTTTATATATGTAAAATAATTGGAACAGTGCCTGAAAAAGAGTAAGCACTATTTATGTGTTTGCTCTTATCATTTGGCTATTTTCTTACACCCTGTAACAGCTCTACTAAATGATGTAGAGATGGGTCAATTTTCCACATCATCAAACCTATCAAATACTCCATCCATCCTATTTTTCTCCTGCAGCCTCCTGGTGCCTTCATCCTCCTGTTGCTACCTGGGACCCACTGCTCTCTAAATGAATCCTTAGCTGTGATCCCAGCCATCCACCTGCCATCATCCTCAGGGCTCCCTTCCCCACGCCCCTGAAGTGGGTTTTCCATTCCTTGGTTTACCTTCCCATTTTGTTGGAACACCTCCTCCAGTAACTTCCTGAGAAAGGGTAAGTGAGTGGGAATTGCATTTTTGAGACTTGACATGTTAAAACATTTTTTCACTTGATGCTCACACTTGATTTACAATCTGGGTAGCTATCGATGTCTAAGGTGTAAATTATTTTCCCTTAGAATTTTGAAGTAATTGCTTCATTTTCTTAGCTCCCTATGTTCCTATGGGGAAGTCCAATGCCATTCATATTCCCATACTTTTTAATGTAATTTTCCCCCTACAGGAGCATTTAGGATCTTCTTTTATTCTGAAGTTTCACAGTGATATACTTTAGTTTGGACTTTGGACTTTTATAATTTTTACTTATGACTCAGAGAGAATTTGTGTATCTCCATTCTAGGAAATGTTCTTGCATTTTTTTTCTGTGATAATGTCCTCCTTCTGTTTTCTATGATCTCTCTGAAAACTCTTATTAGTGGGATGTTCAACCTCCTGGATTAATCTTTTAATTTTCTTGTCTTTCCTCTTTTTTTTTTATCCATTGCCTGTCTTTTTATTCTACTTTCTGGGGAACTTTCTTGAATTTATTGTCAAGCACTTATTTTGAATCTTTTTTAAAAAATTGACTCATCATATTTTTAATTTCCCGGAACTCTAAATTATTCTCTGAATGTACTTTTTATGATTGCACTTTTCTTGTTTTATGGATTATAATATCTCCTTTTATTTCTGTGATGATATTAATTATACTTTCTTTGAAGATTTTTATGCTCTCTACATTAATCCTGTTGCCTCTGTGTTCAGATCTCTTTTATCAAGTAGGATGATTTTCCCAATTTTTAGTAATTCTCAACTGCCTGTTCACATTAATGAGTAAAGGTGCTTAAACCCAGGTGTAGGCCCTGAGTGCACTGGTGGTCTCCAGTGAAGGGCAGTAGAGGCCAGGTGACATTTTCATTAGAGATTTATAAGCTTTTCCTGGAGTAGGTTTATTTTTCTGTAGAATGATCCTCAAATCAAGGGACTGTGGACGGTCCCCACCTCATTTACATATTTATAGGCATTTACTTTTAACCTATTTTCAGCCAAGTATAGACTCAAGGAGAAAAATACCTATGGTGTCTTAGAGGGTAGGACAGGGGTTGGGACGAGGACCCAAGCGTCTAAACTGTTGTTATTCACACTTTTCACTCTTCTGTGTTCAGCTGCTCACACCACCCTTCTCACTTGTGCCTCGTTTGATACCCCATCCTGTCCTGTTAGTTTCTAAGCCTTTCTCTGTTCCTGGAGGGGCAAATTGGGTTGATTCCTCTCTTTGAAGGCACTTAGGGTTGAAATGTTCTCTCTGCTAAGTCATTTGTTTTCCTCCTTCTGTAGTCCATCTTCCCATATAGTGTGTTAAGATGTCTCTTAGTTTCATTGAAGATGAAATGCATTGCTTTTTTTCTAGCTCTTACTGTTATTGGGGGAAATTTTTGGAAGGAGAAGGTAGCCAAAATGGATTTACTCCGCCATCTTAAAATGAGAACTTTTCTGTAGAAGCTTTTAGAGACTTTTCTTTATTGTGGTGACTTAAAATGTGATAACTTGTTAGTAAAATATTAGACCCTATAGCAATGTCTCTTTTCTTTCATATGCTTTTAGCTTTTTATATTTTTAGCTACTATGCTTGGAGAATCCCAAATTCTCAACTAGGGATCCTTTCGGGCGGAGGTATCACTCAAAATCTTCAGGTAAAAAGAACAGCCAGATGTTCTGCCTGAAGTGGAGGTTTGAGGTTAGGAAGACAGGTTACATACCTGGATGGCAGTGCTCTGCTCACAGAGGTTGTGTCTGGGGAGGAAAGGAAACTATTTTGAGCCCAGTGTTTTAGCTAATTTCCTTGGTTCCAGCCCCCCTATCTTGGTGAACCTTGGTTTCAGCCCCCTATCAGTCTCACCTACCACTCCCAAGTCCTGGACTTCTCCAGAGTTTTGCGTTATAGGATATAGTTTTGTCATGCACATGTCACTCTGCTAATGCACAGAGCGGAGGCTCCATCCATCCTGTTCCATCAATCACCTTTCTCCGTGCTATTTCCCAGAACTTTGATGAAATCCCTTAACCGCTAATGGATTTTCTGCAGGTATTATCTTCATTGTGAGTTTAAATACTTTCTACTCCTTTACAGTTGTAGAGCTTCAGAGCACAGGGCCTGAAGATGCAGTGCTTGGGAAGTGCCACTACTTTTTAACTGTGTGTCTTTGGGCAAGCTAGTTAGCATCTCTCTGCCTCAATTTTTTTAATCTGTAAAGCGAGAATAATAATAAGACTTTCCTTGTAGGATTTTGTGAGCATTAAATGAGGTAGTCCAGGGACTTCCCTGGTGGTGCAGTGGTTGGGAGTCCGCCTGCCAATGCAGGGGACACGGGTTCAAGCCCTGGTCCGGGAAGATCCCACATGCCGCGGAGCAGGCGGGCCCGTGTGCCACAGCTACTGAGCCTGTGTGCCACAACTACTGAAGCCCACGTGCCTAGAGCCCGTACTCCGCAACAAGAGAAGCCACTGCAATGAGAAGCCCGTGCACCGCAACCAAGAGTAGCCCCCGCTCTCTGCAACTAGAGAAAGTCCATGCACTGCAGTGAAGACTCGATGCAGCCAAAAAATAAATAAATAAATTTATTAAAAATAAAAAATTGAGGTGATCCAGGTAAAGAAAGGAAAACTTGACATGTAGTAAGCTGACCTTTCAAAAATCTCATTCATCCTCATTATTATTATTTTTTATTTTTTTTTGCGGTGTGCGGGCCTCTCACCGCTGCGGCCTCTCCTATTGCGGAGCACAGGCTCCGGACGCGCAGGCTCAGTGGCCATGGCTCACGGGCCCAGCCGCTCCACGGCATGTGGGATCCTCCCGGACCGGGGCACGAACCTGTGTCCCCTGCATCGGCAGGCAGACTCTCAACCACTGCACCACCAGGGAAGCCCCGTCATTATTTTAGTGGATTTTTAGCATGGAGAAAAAATAAAAGCTTGTTTCAATCCTCTGTCATTAACTGGAAGTCTGATGAACTTTCCTGATATTTACATATTTCAGGCAGTTGCTTGAGGAATTAATGAGCTAATGTATGGAAAACACAAAGCACACGGCGGACACACAGTCATCATTATTAGTAGTCGCTGAATAGGTGTTTGTTGAATGACTGTTGAAGATAGAGTGTTATACAGGAAGCAATCCCAAGCCTGGATGTTGGATGACCTGCATTTAGTCCTGGTTGCCACTCTCCTTCTGTGACTTGAACAAGTCAATGAGCCTTTCTGAGCCTCAATTTCTTCTTCTGAGAGTAGGAATAATAATAGCAGATACTTAATGATGTTATAATGATGAGTCCTACGATAAGTGTTATGCAAACTGTAAAGTGCTTTATAAATTATCAGCTATATGTGGGTGTGCACACCCACGTGTGCGCATGTGAGTTAGGCAGTTCGAAAGACAAAATGCGAAGGGGATACTCCCTCATGATGTTGTCAGAGATGTCAAGAAATTACACCACTTCTTAAAAACGTTGCAATTTCCAGATGTAACCCAGACGTCCGTGCCCAAGAACAGCTAATCAGTGCCACCATCTCCAGACTTGTGTTCAGTCTGGAGTTCAGTCTGTGTTCAGTCTGGAAAGTTCAGCTTTCCCACTGCCTGTGGCTGTTAGTGAACCCCGTCAACGGGGAAAGGCTGCTCATCATAGATCAGAGTGAAGGGCTAGTCACTTCCTGCCAAGTTGTTTCTGTCACTGAAACGTACTGGACACAATTTTGATGAAAAGGAAGAGACAAGAGGCTATCTGTCTCTGAGTCTTTGCCTGGAGACTCAAGATTACAAATCGGTTCCCCTTAACCAAGAGAATTCCAATTTATTTATTTATTTATTGGTTTGGCAGGGAGAGCTCTCAAAGATGGGTTTTATTTTCTTAATTTTTCTCAATTAGCACTAAGCAATGTTCACAATGACCAATGAGAGAATAAGAAGAGATGGAAACCTCATCCCCAAGCTGCTGCCACCGAACTCCCATGAAGTGGCTGCTTCTGTTAACTTCTGAGGGACCCCCTCCTCCGCCCTGCATCACCTCTCTCCCCCTCACACAGACCCGTGCACTGACTTTCTCCATGGAGCCTGTTTACAGGGAAGCTAATTATTTTTCCTCGTGCAAAAGCCCACTTCTGACTTGGTAGCTGTGCTCAGTCTCCTGGAGGAGAACAGATCTGAGTTTCAGTGCTCCCGACTGTACATTGGATGGCCTAAAAATACCCACAAATTTGTCTTCTCTTTCCTAATCGGGCTGGGCTCTTATCGAAAGGCAAACTCTTCTGAGAATTCTGAGGGACTATTACTTCTCACGGATGGCATCAGCTATAAATAGCAGTGCCTTCCAGGTAGCGTGCTGCTGGCTGGCACAGCTCTGCGCTTGCTTTATTCCAGGGAAGATTGAATGCCGCTGGAGGATTCTGGGAGCGAGAAGGCTGGTCTGGCACTTGGGGCTTGGAGGAATTCACAGGGATCCTCCCTGGAGACCCTTCTCTGTACCAGCTTCCTTCCCAGCTGGGTACCATGGTCACAAATACGCATAAGACAAGCTTGACCTTTTCAGGATCTCATAGCAGAGAGCAGAGCTGCCCAACAGGAGTGCAATGCAAGCTACATATATAATTTTAAGATTTCTAGCAGTCATATTTTAAAAAGTACAAAGAAACAGGCAAATTCATGTTAATAATATATTGTATTTAAGATACTATATCCAAAATATAGCCTTTTCAATGTGTAGTCAGTATGATAAAGATATTTTACATTCCCTTTTTTGGGGGGGGGAGGATACCCACACTGTGACTGATTTTCATTATTTGACGTGCTCCTAAAACTCATAAGCTGTACAGAAAGGTAGACTGACAGAAGTGTCCCCTCTCCCCCTCTCTCCCTACTACTTAGTTCCTAGGCCAACATTCTTTATACCCTGTTTTTGTCCCTTAGCCTTGAGAAAGCATTCTCCTTAGTTTCTGGTTTATCTTTCCTGTCCTCATCCTATC